TTTTCAGTCATAGAAGTTGGACACAGTTAACTCATTATTGATAGTAAAATACTGTAATATCTGGGAAACTCATTAACATTTTGAACTTCGATAAAGTTATGCACTAAGTCTGTGGTGAATCACAGTGCCAGATCCAGACCTTGAGAGAAGGGGGCGGTCATCCAGACCCTTAGATAAGGGGGGACTGGTCTCCCCAAAAATTTTTTTCGGCCCTTCGGGCCTCGGTTTGCTCTAAAAATAAGGGGGAAGCGGTCCCCTGCCCTGGATCCGCCACTGATCCGTATACAATCAAACCCTCTTACTACGGACACTTAGGGGGCCATAGAAAGTGGCCTTATTAACGGGTTGTCTGTATTAAGTGGGTTGAATTTAAAGAAAATGTAAGGACTTTCTTTCCCCAGGGACAAAGCAAACTGTCCTTAATAACGAGGTGTCCGTATCAAGCGGGATTTGACTATATATGCAATGGTTATAATTAATCACCTTCAAAATGATTTACAGTGTGAGACGCCGGATGACAAATAATCCATCATTAGAGAAAATATCCGTGCAAGATGCTACGCAGTCTTTATTGATATTATTAACTTCTCAGTAGCTTATATTAATGAGTGCGGTCAGGCCGGGTGTCAACTTTCAACGATTTGAGTCAAAGACTGATGTTACAACTCCGATCGTACTATACTACTGACAGCCGGGCAGAGATCAGCAGAGGAAAACACTGATCAATGGTTTCTGGTTGATTGTCACACTTTAAGATTTCACTCAAAAGCACGACCTTGCACAGAATCACAGAGACCTGTGATACACAAAAGAAGCAATGCACAGGCCTTAAGGGAACTTAGGCAACATTGGTCCAACGGTCCCATAATTCATTTCGACACAACCCTTACTCAATCTCACCCGAAAACTTAACATGACCAATTTAATTCCGGCCCACGCATCGTCTACAAGTGGTTTAGAGTATCTGCAACACCTACTTCCCTTTCGAAACGGTCGTTCCCATTTGTAACGGTCAATGCCACCATTGGTAACCAAGCCTTCAGTCATGATAGTTGTTATCAAGAGCCATTATGGCTCTTAATGTAATATGTTTCCTGGATTAAGTAACAATAAGGCAAATAATATGTTTTTGAATAATCTTAGAAAGAACGATGTTGAAGCCCAAGTCGAAAAAAAGTCGTGGAAAGTGCTAAGGTCACCTGTTATTGATGTAACAGTTAAGAAAGACAGTTTGTTGGTTAAATGTGTACTTAAATTTTTCGGAATTATGGTGGGTTGGTGTGGCAGTGTAGTGGTAAAGGAGAGAGATTAGGATACGAGGTCCAGATTCGACCCTAGGTTGCGATTTTCTTTCTTTTTAATAGAAACACTCTCAATAATAGGTCAAACATTTTCTGAATGTCTTTAAAATGGCAGCGACCGTTTACGAAAGGCACAACATCTGCGAGGAAGGTTACCAAAGGAAATTCTCCTTTGTACTAACAATACAGTAAATCCTCTATTTAGCGCCCCCTCTATCTAATATGCCCCCCACCCCACCCTTTTTAGGGGAAGAAAGTTAAAAAGCCTCCCCCTCTTTTTTAAGTACCAAATGAGTTCGAGTTATTCTATTTTCCGACTCGATCCTTTAGAGGCCCTTGTAAGTCATTTTTAATTTTAGCACCCTAAGAGATATCAGTACACAAATTTTACCCACTGAGACTGCATTGAGCAACCGCGTCATGGGGAGTTCGCTCTAGTGTTGCTTTGTTGTAGCGGATAGTCATGTCAGGGGCACCCACCCACTTAAACGTATCTTATCCACTTGAACGTATTTTAGTATTTAAACGGTAGATATAGGCATATTTTTATCCCATAAAATTGTTTCATCTGTTCGGATTTCCTAGCTGAAAGTCTAGTGATACGAAAATTATAGGGATTAAAACTTACCTTTTCGAAAATTTCAGCCAGATAAAAGGCTCCCGAAAATTTTAGGTGACTTTTTTAGGGTAAAAATCCATTAAAAAAGGGAAATTATACCATTTTTCAGATGTTCGAAAATCCTAGGAGAGGCAGGCAAGCAAAAAATTTTACAACAAATGTTCCGAAAATTCTAGATCTCAAATCGTCTTCCGAAAAGATATTTTCCAAAATTTGACGTTGGGCGCCCCCCGTCATGCCCCAACGTTATAAGCATTTTAAGGGCTATTGAGGTATTTTCTAGCAAGTTCCTCTAGCAATCTTTTTCTGGGAAACTTTAAGGCCATTCATAGGTGAAAGGTACTTTTGAGTCATAGAAATTGGAAACAGTTAACTCATTATTGATAGTAAAATACTGTAATATCTGGGAAACTCATTAACATTTTGAACTTCGATAAAGTTATGCACCAAGTCTGTGGTGAACGGCAGTGCCAGATCCAGACCTTGAGATAGGGGGGGGGGGGTCATCCAGACCCTTAGATAAAAAAAAAGTTTTTTCGGCCCTTCGAGCTTCAGTTTGGTCTAAGAATAAGGGGGGGGGCGATCCCCCCGGTCCCCTAATGTGGATCCGCCACTGATCCGTATACAACCAAACCCCTTTACTACGGACACTTAGGGGGCCATAGAAAGTGGCCTTATTAACGGGGTGTCCGTATTAAGTGGGTTGACTTTAGAGAAAATGTGGGGCCTTTCCTTCCCCAGGGACAAAACAAACTGTCCTTAATAACGAGGTGTCCGTATCAAGCGGGATTTGACTATATATGCAATGGTTATAATTAATCACCTTCAAAATGATTTACAGTGTGAGACGCCGGATGACAAATAATCCATCATTAGAGAAAGCATTCTAATTGAGAACATTTCATACATTTTGAAGGGAGCAAGTTTTCAACATTATATACAGCACACTACACACTGTTTTGGAGGAGCAAGGTTTAGTAGAGTTTGTTATAGTAATCAAATATTAGTTCGCGGTCTTCATGCGTGTTGGAGGTTTCTAGTTCGATTCCTAGTTGTGACCTCAAATCCTTGTTTCGTGTTGTCTGTGTAGCTTTATAAGTAGCTTTAAGTGCCCCGGCATAATGGTGGAGAGAGGTGGGGCAAAATGAGCGAACTGTCGGCCTTAGGATTGTCAGCATGGTTAGTCTAACGAGTACTGTTAGGAAGTTCCCGACGTAAACTAAGGACCCTAGTTTATCTTTACCTAAATTATACCTTTAATAACCAGAAAAATTGATGAAACCAAGATACCGAGCTCGAGAAGGCTTCCTATCAATCAAAATCCATACTTCCTTGCTTGATATTATCAGCGTTCTTGTAAAGACGAATTCAAGCATACAACCGCTAAACTTTGGAGCTCAGAGAGCATCATTAGATTCGCTTTTATTGTAGTATGGTTATGGATTGCCTTGCAGTAATTTATTAACTGATAACAGAAGTCAGATAAGAAAATTAAAATAAAACTGTTAGTAAGATATTTAGCTAAAAAGAACTTAGAACCGAAGAACTCAGTTTGTCGCTGTCGTGGACATAAAAAGTCTTTACCATGAAAGATTTTTCTTGGGTTTTAGTCAGTATCATCTGGCACCTAATGAAACAGATGTTCGGATAGTAAATGTATTCGAAATTTGCGTTGACAGAGGGAGTGTAAGCTATATATAAACTTACTTTTTTCAGTATCGGTCTCGCTCATGTTCAGGACTCCGCATATAAAAGGGGTGGGGATGCTCGTCGTCTCGCTTAGGGGTATAAATTTCGGATTTTGGTCTCACTTAGGGTGTTCTGGGCAAAACGCCATCATATTTAGCCGTGAAGGTCTCGTTCAGGGTTGCACGTGAAAAGATATAAAAATGTGTGTATTGTCTGTGTTTTAACATGGTCTCTTTTAGGGGTCAAAAAAAGTCGTAAAATAGAAAGACTACTACGGAGTATTATGCTCTAATTTCATGGATTTCTTTTGTTTATTTCTAACTATTTGGCTCTAATTGTTACGTATTGTTTCACGGGTAAACTATAATCACTTTAATGCATTCATGTGTGTTTGAATGAAACGGATGTATCCTGAAAGTGTGTGCTTCAAAAATACTTTCCGACGGAGTTGTACCCAAAGCTGTTAACTATAAACTCTGATAGAAAATACTGAGTCATATACGTTCCAAAAAAAAGGTTCCATGTTTTGAAAGAAAGCTCAATTGCTTTACAGTTTGAGTGCTATTCCCACCCAACTGCTGAAATTTTTCAGTATTACACTCACGGCTCAGCTCAATAAAGTTTATCACAAAAAATGCTGCTCAATGGTTTTCGGCTTTAACCACAGGCACAAAAAAGGTCTCAAACGACTTTCTGAACGTTGTCAATGGACAGCACTGCACAGAGCTTTCGTTTGCATATATTATACATAGTCATTCTTTAGGAAAGCAAACACAACAGTTGAAATCACCCTAAAGTTTTTTAATAAACTGAACAACAAAAAGATTTGCAGGCTGATAGTTTTCACCCGCAAATATACACTCTGTAGGTCTTGTCAATGAGCCAACAAAACAAAATTCTGCTCCCTTATATTTCCCAACGACCAACCCCGTCATCATATGGGATACCAACGAGATACTCCTGGGTGACGGTGTACAGTTTCTGAAAACTCGGGTGATAGGATAAAAACAAAAATGATCCTACTATATTGGCTATATCACAAACACAGAAGGCAACAGAACGCATTTCGTACGTCATTTCTTCTGTGTGCCTCAGATTCATCAACATGAACATCCAAGTCTCAGCCTAAACACAGGAGTGATGTAAACTCGTTCGCGCGTTCGTATCGCAAACTCGGAGCTAAATTGCCCGGCTAAATTGCTGCGCTCAAAAAACCGTGCACTGCAGCTGAAGACGTTATTTCAGTTCTCTGACTCGGGATCGATGTCCTCAGTGGTCGCAGTCAGTTACCGTAAAGCAATGTTGCCGCGAATCCCTGGGTTATTGACTGAGCAAGCTCGCTTGACGGTTTCCTGTGCGGAGTCTCTGCCAAAACCATAATAATCAGTTTTTTAAAGTTCAGTGGAACAAAACGTCGTGGTCAACAATCCGTCCACAACAGCTGTTTCGTGTAGTCCTTGTGTGATTTCCACGAGCTTCTTGTTTTTAACTCCTGCAAAAGAGTGACATCTGCTTCTTCTCAAATCGGTCACAACCGAGTTGTTTTGAACTAAGTTTAAGCTGTGACCCTCGGCGATGCTTCTTAATCTCTCAGCTTCTCGAACACTCAGCCCTGTAAATGATATACTTCGCCGAATACGTTGCGGCTGAAAAGAGTTCAGTATTTCCTTTTCCTCTTTCTCACTTAAACAGTCAACGGCTATGTCTGTATCACTACCTTTCACAACTTTTGAGCTTGCTATTTCACTTGGTTTGAAACTTGGAGCTTCGCAATCTTTGTCACAGTCTCTCATAGCTCGTGATTGCACGCAGCTTATCCCGCGTCCCAATCTGTTAATTGTCTCTGAAAAGCGGTGCTTAAATCCCGTCTTCGTCATCTTACAGGTTTTCAAAGCGTTGTCGTTTTCTTTATATTTACCGGGTGCATTTGCGATGTTTGCTGGATAAGACGCACCTATCAGAAAACAAATGGCAAGCTATTCTGCATACAAATCATCGATTTTGAAAAATTGCGTGAATCAATTAGCTTTACCATAATAATGAATCGGCACTACATTTGAAAAATTTGAATGCCGTCTTTCTCTTTCCCGAACAAAAACAACATCACGCTTTGTCTGTTGTTGGTGATTACTTAATTATTATGGATGTAATTTTACGCATTGAAGGTGCAAAACTCTCATGTTATCTTTTTGCCAACACACCAACAAATCTTGCAAAACACGAAAACGAAACGGCATTGAGCATTCCATGTACCTCTTACATAAAATCAATTAGCAGACCAATTAAAGATTTATCTTAAGAGTTATATCACCTTGTTATCGCCTAGGGAGCTATAAAAGCAATTCGGCTATAGCAGCGGTAAACAACTTGATTTATATGCATACTAGAGTTAATAGAATCCATGTCATCGTAAGCTTTTCTTTGTCGTTCGGCAAGGCGGCAAGTAAGCCGTACAGACTTTGATCGAGTAGTGTTCAAGATGTGTCATTGGCTTGAAGTTGCGGTAACGCTATGAAGATGGAGTGATTGTTCTGCCGTATTGTTTACATAAAGTTTATTGTCTCGAGTTTGGCCTCTAGCCTACGTAGCATGGCAGTTTTGGTTGGGTGTGCAAACTAGCCAAGGTGTGGGGAGGGCAGTGAACGAAGAAAATGAGACATTGGGGCCCTTCGCCGCTCAGTTATGCGCCCGACAGATCCGCCATGCTAGGGCTACGCAGGCTACTTGNTAGCTTTACCATAATAATGAATCGGCACTACATTTGAAAAATTTGAATGCCGTCTTTCTCTTTCCCGAACAAAAACAACATCACGCTTTGTCTGTTGTTGGTGATTACTTAATTATTATGGATGTAATTTTGCGCATTGAAGGTGCAAAACTCTCATGTTATCTTTTCGCCAACACACCAACAAATCTTGCAAAACACGAAAACGAAACGCCATTGAGCATCCCATGTACCTCTTACATAAAATCAATTAGCAGACCAATTAAAGATTTATCTTAAGAGTTATATCACCTTGTTATCGCCTAGGGAGCTATAAAAGCAATTCGTCTATAGCAGCGGTAAACAACTTGATTTATATGCATACTAGAGTTAATAGAATCCATATGATCGTAAGCTTTTCTTTGTCGTTCGGCAAGGCGGCAAGTAAGCCGTACAGACTTTGATCGAGTAGTGTTCAAGATTTGCCATTGGCTTGAAGTTGCGGTAACGCTATAAAGATGAAGTGATTGTTCTGGCGTATTGTTTACATAAAGTTTATTGTCTCGAGTCTTGGCCTCTAGCCTACGTAGCATGGCAGTTTTGGTTGGGCGCGCAAACTAGCCAAGGTGTGGGGAGGGCAGTGAAAGAAGAAAATGAGACATTGGGGCGCTTCGCCACTCAGTTGTGCGCCCAACAGATCCGCCATGCTCGCTCGGCAGTCTTCTTGGCCTCTTGTAATTGACGGACCTCCCGACCGCCGACTTGCATTTGTTTAGAACAAGCGCCGATAAAGATTGCCAGTTTCAATTACAGTCAACCCCCTTTATAGCGGACATTGTAGGGACCTTGAGACAGTGTTCTCTTTAGCGAGAGTCCGTAATAGCGGGAGTTTATTTCAGTCAAACGTCTGTAATTCATTTTTGCTGAGGACTTAGCTACTGTGCGTTTCATCGCGGGGTGTCCGCAAGGCGAGAGTTGACTGTATTTTGTACACAGATCTCACTCGGTCTCACACTGAAAATTGGTCAGGGTATGATAATAGGCCGGTATGTAGTAGTGGGCTCCTGGTAGTATCAGGAGCCCATAACCCGGAGCGAGCAACTTCCATGCGCTCGTGTCACGGCGTTTTCACGGACCAGGTTATTTTTAGAACGGTTTTGGCGTGAATTTTGACTATCTTTTAAATTCCACAAACCAGTCAGTAAAAACTACAGACCTAAAAATGATATTTATTGCCTTTTAATGACGTTTAGGTTTCCTTTTTGATATCGTATACTTCAAATACTCTCATAGACATAATGGAGATTCTATTTTCGCGGGAAAAAGTGCCCTAAAGTGTGTCTAAAAATAAAGTGGTCCGTAAAAAGGCCGTGACATAGGCCGAGTTCAGGAGTTGCTGGTTATGGGCTCCTGGCAGTATGTTGAATCATCCAATGATATCTCTTCTCAATCTTTCCGGGACTGTTTGGACTATCGACACCATCTGGACGATAACCATGCTAAAGGTAGGAGTAAGAGGGATCTACAGTCAACTGCCGCCGTATAATATATTTTAGTAAAATCCAAGTAGTGGTCTATTATCAATGTTGTATTCTGATTGATTGAGCCACTACTAGGTTGTATGTTATAGCCCACTAGTAGCGAAAAGCGCCGGCTTTGAAAACTAAAAAACTGGCAGCTGAATCGCGTTTTGCTAGCTAAAACTTTTTGTCTCCATATTTTTTACCATCTAGTTGGATTTTAGTAAACCAATTATTCCTCTCGCCCTCATGGACACTGAGTCTCAATAGCCCATTCGGCCTTCGGCCTCGTGAGATATTGACTCAGAGCCCATTCAGGCTCGAAAAATAATTGTTAAATAAAATTATTATTATGTTATTTTATATTGTAACATGTTTCTGTTAAAACAGTTAGCTCGGACGTCAGATCAAGTCCGTGATAGACGGGTGTCTGTAGAGCGGGTGTCCACTGTATACAGTTGTGTTTATGCAAGTTATGTGCTAGAAATAATTTGGAGCAGGTAATATACCGTAAAATGTCTCACGAGGGCCCATATTTTTCTCAGTATTGCTGTATTGGAAAAATATGTTCCCATTTTAAACCAGTAATCATCAGTGCTAGCACAAGACAAAGATTAAGGCCTGTATCAATTAATCAACTTTTTTTGTTGTTCATTCTGTAAAGGTTTGTTTTCTACGAAGAACATCTCCAAACCCTAGGTCGAGAATTATTTTTTCCAAAAAGAAACAACAAAACCACTGGCTAACCATTTGAGAAAAAACGAATTTGTCGGGTTATCTTAAACCGATATTTCTACAAACCAGGAAGGCTTCATTTCTATCTAGACTCCATAGTCAAGCACTGTCTACAGGTCTATTTCTAAACCTATTTTGCTCACAAAAAAAAAGAAATGAAAAAAGTTTCAATCTNGGTTATCTTAAACCGATATTTCTACAAACCAGGAAGGCTTCATTTCTATCTAGACTCCATAGTCAAGCACTGTCTACAGGTCTATTTCTAAACCTATTTTGCTCACAAAAAAAAAGAAATGAAAAAAGTTTCAATCTTTTACCAAAAGCCATGAGCTAACCCATTTGGGAAAATCAAATTTGGGGATTATTTAAAGCTGATTTAGAACAACGTGTATTTCGATACCTATTTTTTCTTCTAAAAAGAAACAATGAAAAAAAGTTTTCAACTTTTGTTCAAAATCATCATGAGCTTTCTTGTTAGTCTCGTCAAAACTCTTTCAACACTGCTTTAAGTTTTTAAAAAAAAAGGCCAGAAGGAAACCTTTTGGGGTGACAGCATCTGTTTAGAGGGGAAAATGTCAAGGTTTCCTTTTAAGGTTTTTGACATTGACCTTGTCGAAAAGTTATTTCGAGAGTGAGAGTTCACTATTTCCAAAACTGTTTGTCTAACATTTTTAAACAACATTAAGTGACTGTAGAATATCCCTGATTGGTGGAAGTGTGTTCATGAAGTTATCCTAACACAATAGAAAGAAAAGTCAATTACAGTTTTAAGCTGTCACGTGCTTAAGCACGTGCACAACGCACCTTTTTGCTAATTCGAAAATGGAATCAATGTAACTGCATTCCAAAATAAGCTCCAATTAGTGACAAAAGTAGTTGACATCTTAGTCTCGTCAGGTGATTGTCTTACTACTAATAGAACAGCTTGTTACAGCTACTATCTATAATGAGGAACAAAAGTGTGAGTCACCCCCATATAATGGCTATATCTACCCCTTCCCTCTGTGTACCCCAACCCCTCCCCTAAAATCAATATTGTATTTTACAAACGACCGGAGGTGGTTGGGTTTTACGACGTTTACGATGTAGGAAATTTTTTTTCCATATATATAAAAGCAAGTGTTTCAGACAAGTATGTCAACTACTTTTGTCACTAGTTGGAGCTTATTTTGGAATGCAGTTACATTGATTCTATTTTCGAATTCGCAAAAACGTGCATTGTGCACGTGCTTAATCACGTGACAGCTTAAAACTGTAATTGACTTTTCTTTCCATTGTGTTAAAATAACTTCATGAGCACACTTCTGCCAATCAGGGATATTCTACAGTCAATTAACGTTGTTTAAAAAAAATTAGACAAACAGTTTTGGAAACAGTTTTCTCTCACTCTCGAAATAACTTTTCAACGAGGTAAATGTCAAAAACCTTAAAATAAAACCTTGATATTTTCCCTTCTAATCAGATGCTGTCCCGCAAAAAGTTTCCTTCTGGCCTTTTTTTTTATATAACTTAAAGCAGTGTTGAAAGAGTTTTCAAGTAAACGTAACTGAAGACTTTTTACTCGCACGAACCCAAAAACGAGATCGACGTTATGAACAAACCCAGCGGAAACGCTCCGATCGTTATGCATTACATCGGGCATGACTTTGCTTTCAACGGCCAATGATCATGAGGTGCATGAATTAAAATCTACCCATTAACACACTTGGAGTGACTTGGGGTTTCAGGACCTTTTATTTCGAGAAAGTATTCAACAGTAACTTTCACTTCTTAAGTCACACTCAAGGATTTCAATTGGGAACTAAATGTTAGGGATACGGACGCAGCTCATATCATTTAACCGTAAACCGGTTAAAGGCGAATGAATCTGTAACTGCCAAAAAGATAGAATGGCTGCATATTTGGTTAGTTAATCAATGGAACATGAATATTTTTAAACAATAAAACTGTTGCCTTCTAAAGAATGCCATTTTACTACACTTCATTTCCTAGCCATAAGCCGTAAAGAAATTGTACTACGACGGCCATCTGATCTGGCCCAATCTCTTCTCGTTTTCGCCCAAAAAAAACCGTGATTTCATTTCATCGATTTGTGGTGTTAATCTAACTAATATTTAAAGGTTTCTTTCATTGCCAGGAGAAAATCAACCATAAATAGCACGACTATCAGAATGACGTTTGAACATTTTTGTACTAAAGCGATGTATCAGATAAGAAATAACCGGAAATAGAAACTAAAAACATCATTGGTTTGTTTAGGAAGAGAGTACACATGTTTTCCAATATACAGTAAAGGACTGTAAGCCTATGACCCAGAACGATTGCTTTGATAGTTTTATATGCTATTGACCTCTTCGTGATAAATAATCTTGAGAAAACAAGTAAACAAGTAGAACGAGGCGTCTACATGCTTTATTTCTAAGTGGCCTTCTAGAAACTACAAAGCGTTTCCGACACAAAGCAACGTAAAGGTTTTGCTAATGAGGATCTATTTTTGAGTTAAGTGATCGTGACAGATGCTTCGATAATTGTTTAGCACTAAAAAGAGAACAAAAGATCGTTCAAGCTTACAAACATCATTTAACAATCGATGTGATTATCAGAAGTTAGAAATATACATCGCTGCGGTGCAGTACGGACCCCGCAATTTCACAACATTTGTAACAAGGTGATACCGGGCCTTACAAGCAACTTATACTAAGCCAAGTTTAACTTACCCTATTAGCGTGCAGGCCTTTCAACCCTGTCGATAGACCACAAATCATTTGACGAGGGCCATTCAAGGCAGCTCAAGAAGAAATAATCAAGTTTTGCTCCACTGGTGTCAACTCGCGACGAAAAATGAAGTCAAACGGATCTATTATGTCCACTACACAAGTGCAGTCAGCTATGCTAAGCATATCAGAGGGAATCTTTGCAACGTCACTTTCTGAAAAGAACAGTTTGACGCTGAAGGAGTCAGTTAAATCTTGCACAGAGGAAAATGCCTCAGATGAGAAGACAACGGCAGATTCGTTTAATACCGGTACAAAACCCATGGAAAATATGCTTGGAAAACTATTGAGAAAAAGAAGGCACTCTGCAACACCAGCGCCACTGCCTAAAGACTCATCGACTAGGCCTAGACCGAGACACACAAAATCGTTAACAGAGATTGAAGTTAACACCGAAATAATCGATGGGCTCTTCACAACGACTCTCTGTTCCACAGAACTTTGAACGTTTTCGGTGAACTACAAAAACTTGTCAGTCCTAGTAAAATAAAAACTTTTCGTCGTTTTTTATGGAATTGGAATGCCTTGATGAACTTGAGAAATGAGACCGCAGACTCGAGAGTAACCGAAACAGTGCAAAATAGACATTTGCAGGAGTTTACTCTGTCAATTTAACTTAAACGTGAAGCCAAAATCAGCTTTGCTATACGACGAGTCATCACGGGTTATACGTCATGTACATAATGATAAACGTTCACTCATGTTTTAGTAATTTTAGACTACGGAGATCGAAAATCACGTGCGTGATTGCAAAACTTTAATACATAAAAATCTGAATGTACACAGATCCAAGGTGTAACGTGTATTTTTATAGCGAGCTTAAAATATTAAGCATAATTATTTCCAAGATCGCTATGTAAACAAATTGATAAACTCGGTGAGACCATTAAAAATTTTATTCTGGTATATCCGGCTTGGCTCTTAAAGCACTAACCGAATAATGAACGTTTCTGGGCATGTACTTTCCTGTGGTACTGTTTATGGTTGTTTTTCAAGGTACAAAGTGGTTCCAACTTTTACTCTGTGGACATCCCTATTGAAGCGGAATGATCTTCTTATCACGCAGGCATAACTTTTCTGTCGAGCTGTTTATTCTGGTGTACAATATTTCTGATCCCTGAATGAAGTCATGAAATTGCCTTAGTGCCACTGTCAAAAATTGAGAAAAGCTACTGAGCATCTTTTTTCCGATGTACCGGGTAATGTTGGCTGTTCATTACTCAACAAAATTTTAAATGATTTTTTTGTTACTGAAAGATACTTAACTTGTGACTGCTTTCGCGTGAAGTGTTTTTTCGTTCCAAAGGAGTCTTTCGTCACAAAAAGCTTTCTCATTGGAAAGTGACGGCAATTAGCGCCTTTTCATACAGCTCTCGAGTGAGTCACAAGCTAAGCACGAAACTGCTCACCTTCTCACGCAAACAGCAACAATTGTGAGACCATTGTTTTCTGGATAATTACTGAAAACGACTTATTATAAATGGATAGTACAGCATAAACACCCTATCAAAAGTTATGTTAGTGAAATGTTGTAGATATATCTAAAACGTGAGTGCGTTGACATCCCTGATATCGCACGACACGCAAGCAGATAAGCACTGAGTAACTAACAGCATGCCTGAATAATCTAGAAGAGCCTTGAAGGGTCTTGATGGGTTGTTTCAAATAAGCAAAGATTGTTGATTGTAATTATCTTTAAATCTCTCCAAAACCCGTCTGTAAAGGAATTACGACTTCCGTCGCTGTCGAAATTGAATTAAGTTGGGGGGAAGTACTAAATAATGTGTAAAAGCGACAAAAAGGTGCAAATTTGAGAACTAGAGGTTAGAAATAATGTGAATGATTTTTTTTTCGCTCGTTCGTTCGTTCGTTTGTTTGTTTGTTTGTTTTGGACAGGTGGCTGAAAGACGATTGCATGAAACTCTTGGGGAGGAGCTAACCACTTTAAAAAGAATGACCTTGACACAAGTTTGCGACGAATAATGCAAAAAGGACGTTGAATTAAGAAACGTTCATGCAAAGACTTTGTAAAACTCTCTTTAAATGTTTCCTTTCAGTATCCAAAAAGAAAAGCAGAAAAAGGCGAATTTGGGGCAATTACTTTTTGTGCCATTAGCCCTCTTTTGGGGTCTAGTTTTACGCTAACAGAACAACGCTTAGCCTCATTCGCAGTTCCCCGTCGCTAATAAACCGGCGGGAGTACCCCTACAATTCCCCCCCCCCCCACCTTAGCCACCGCTGGTTAGTGATATACATTTCGCCGTTGCGATGTTCCAGACACACACGAACTAGAAAACTAGCATCACGACTTTATTATCTTTTAACCTTCATTTCCTTCCCTTTTTTCTTTTAATGATGAACGAAACAGACAACGTTTTCAAACGTAAACTGAAACGTATGATCCAAGCCTAAATTTAAATGGCGTCATTACGTTCGAGCTAAAATGGCACTGACCCATGGTCTATTTTTTACTTTCTATAAATACAAAATGTTATAAACAGAGACGCGATTATTGGATTAAAGTTCTAGTTCTAATATAATTAAATCAGAGTTAGCGCACGCACTATAAGTTCCTCAAAGATATACTTAAGAACACTGAAGTTTTACCAAAATATACTTTTAAAACAAAAATTCAACAAACCAATTCGAATACCAGGCTTACTATTAAATAGAAGCTTACTTTTAGATCTACTGAAGCTGTCTCCCGGTGAATCTAATACGATTATCAGCCTCAAAAATAATTTCGTGATTATCTAAGTTTTACACGTCAGCGAGGACTAAGTTGATCATAACAAACTTTCTGATCGAATATATCATGTCATCAAATTAGTCTCTATTTCAATTAACAACGTTTTCTGCCGACTCTTTTGTTGTTTAGTTCAATCTTATTTATTGCTTTAAATATCATGTGCTATGCTAAAGGACGTCCTTTGTGAGTATATGAGCCGCACACGTTAGTTTCGAGTCCTTCCGAGTTTTGGTACGGCCCGCTTGCCCTTGCTGGACTGTCACAACTAACGGGAGATACTTTAATTGGTTTTGAGCTTTGGATATTGATTTTTATTAGAGGGAACTGAAATTAGAATAAAGCTTTGCTCAATGGCGGAATGAAACAAGTAAATGAGGAGAGGGGGACACTCATCCAGACCTTAAGACCGGGACCCGGCCTCGAAAATGGTACTTCTCGCCCCTGCGGGCTTTTACTTGGCCTGAAAATTAGGACCCCTCCCTTATTGCATGGCGGATTCCATGAAAGACCCACTGACCGTCATTACCTGGCCGGGTGAATACATTGCGCGGAATCCAGAATCCACGACTGTAATAATAATAATAATAATAATAATGATAATAATAATAAAATTAAAATCTTTATTACAAAACCTCAATTAAAATCCTATTTACAATCAACCCGCTGTTACAAAAAATCTAATTAATTCATCAAAAAACTATCTACAATTCCATCCATAATAATAATAATAATAATAATAATAATAATAATATTTATAGAGGGAGCCCAACTCGCCAAGGCGGTTTTCAGTGGGGCCCTCATGCATTAGTCTAACTAATTAATTAATTATTACGAAAAAAGTAAAATATGTTTACAAGTAAAACAAATTTAAAAATCGATTATAACAAAAAATATCAAGGTTTAAAATTAGCTGAGATCTTGTAAAAAAGTTTTTAACTTGGATTTAAAAATAGATAAAATATTACACTC